GCGGTGGGGGGGCACAGCCGCCGGGCACTGGCTGCCGCGGCATTTGGGGCGCCGTAGCGGCGCTCGGCGTAGCGGGTCACCCAGCTGGGGAGGTCGAGGGGCTCCTGGCTCCAGCCCAGCTCGTTCATCAGCTCGTACACCATGTCGTTCTGCTCAATGCCCTCAGGAACCAGCCCGGTGCCCACCATGGTGGAGTTGGGGAAGCGCCGAGCTGAGAAGGGGCCGTGGTTGATGGCCTCCACGGTGCCAAAGAGGCCATGATTGCCCCCAAAGTTGTGCAGCATGCACCAGATGAAGGGCTGCCCGTAGAAGGACTCCGTCCACTGGTAGACGGGCTTGGACTCGGCGAAGAGGTCGGGGACGATCATCCTGCCGAGGGGCACGCCGTGCAGCAGGGCCCGCACCTGCGCCGGCTGCCAGAAGTCCGGCTGGTGCTGGAAGAGCCAGCCCTGCATCAGCCACAGTGCCTCGGGGTCGCCTGGGGACAGAGGTGCACAGGGTGAGGTTCCCCTCCGGGCAGGTCCCACCAGCGCAGCCGCCACACTCTCGGCACAGCGGGCGTCCCGTGAGACCCCGGGGCCATTGACTGCCCCTTCTAGAGGGGCCTTTGAGGGTCTGGCACCAGTGGGGTCTGCCGAGCGCAGGCAGCTCAGTGCTCACATGGAGCCCACAGCCACCCCCCCCAGCCCCTGGCTCTCCCCACTGAGAGCCCCACGGCCGGGCCGGCTCCCCACGCTGACCCACCTCCCGTCATCGACCTGAAGACAGCGTTGCTGACCCTGGAGAGATAGGCAGGGTCGGAGGAGAGGGGGGTCATCTCGTTGAAGGTGTCGGCGCTATAGATGTGGTCTGTGCCAAACTCCTTGATCAGCTCCTTCAGGAAGAGGGTCCCGATCACCTGGAACATGGGGTCCTCCGGGTCCAGCAGGTACGTACACGAGTAGGTGCAGTCGAAGTGGCTCCAGCCCCCGAGGCGAGTGGCATTCACACGCGGGAAGACCCTGTGCCGGAGGGGACAAATGAGGATCAGGATCGGGACAGGACTGCTGCACTCTCCAGCGTGTTGCCAGCCGGCACGGCCGGGTAGCGCTTCTTGTTGTAGACAAAGCCTCTCTCCACCTGGAAGACAGCCTGGTTGAACTGGTCCTGGTGGAAAGGGCTGCCCGAGTTGAGGCTCTCCACCAGGGCAGAGACGAAGAGGCTCCAGCGCACGCCATAGTAGTCCAGCACCAGCCCCCCCAGCTGCTTGTTGGCATAGTCCAGGATGTTCCCGCTGGGTCCCCAGAGCGTCACCTGGTTCCGGGCGTTCAGCTCGTACTGCTCGGCCTCCCGGTCGCTGGTGGCCACAGCAC